CTCGGACACCCATTGACGGATTTCATTCAAACTTTACATGAAGACAATACATAGTGTCTTACATATGCGCGTCAAGTTACTTTATGATCGAAGCAAAAATAGCCGACTGGCGGCCATTTTTTGCTATTTCTGATACCTAAACGTGTCCGCAGCAATTTCTCGGAAATGACTGGGCCGATTTGGATCAAAGTTGGTATGATGATCATACATATTTGGTGATAAGTGCACGTCATACTTTTCCCGTGATTCAAATAAATATGGCCGACTGGCGGTCATTTTGTTTTTCATGGTACCCATGCTACTTTCTCTTGAATGCCATGAACGTTTCTGTTTAAATTTTGTACAAAGATAGTTATACCAAGAGATACAATTACACCATCATTATTTTTGTGATTTGATTCAATATGGCCGGCCAATACCCAATTTTCATGTAAAAGTGCTAAATCGTCATTTTTGCATGTCCGGAGATGTTTCTCAAAGATGACTAGGCCAATTTGGATCAAAGTTGGTATGATGATCATACATATTGGGTTATAGTTGCATGTCATATTTGTTTCTGTGATTCAAACTAATATGACTGGTGGCCATTTTGTTTTTCATGATACCCATGCCTACTTTCCCATCAATGCATATTTCTGTTTACATTTTGTACAAACACAGTATACCAATAGATACATCAACATAAACATTATTTTTGTAATTTGATTCAATATCACTGCCCAATGCCCAATTCTCGTGTAAAATGATATGTCAGATAACAAAATTTTGGACGGAGACTGTGTCATTAACAATGACTTGTTTTTCCAATTTTATTTTTTTTTTAAATCACCACAGCTGGGCCAGTCTAAATGGGACAATCTGACTGGTTTATTAACACAATATTGGCTATAATGATTATTTCTGAAATTCAGTCTGAGTTAAGTAACATTGGCCCTTTGACATGGAATAACAAATGCAGGCCCGTAGTTTTGGGGGGTAGGAGGGTTCGGTCGAACCCCCTAAATTTTGGAAGTGAATAGATTTATGATCGTAGATTAGAAAAATAATAAAACAAACAGTATTAATTTAAATAATTACCATCGTTTAAATCACTTGACTCAGTGAAGTAACTATCACACTCGGTAGAAATTGCATAGTAATGAGCATTTAGGTGGCAACGAGCTTTAAATGTCAATCGTGAAGTTACACCGTCTCAGTTCAACAACAGCCAATCAAAACAGGTTGTTATAAATGGGCAAGCTTTTATTCGGTG